CGACTTGATCGCCATCGGCGACGCTGTTTTCGAGCGGTCATTGGGCATTGTGGCAGCACGGCAGGTGCTAGATCGCCTGATCAGCACACTGCGCAGCTTCGACAAAGACTCGTCCGACACGGTGTGGATTAGTGTGGGCGACCACCTGCTGCAGAAGCTCGAGGCTGCCGCACAGCACACAAGCTTCCTAGAACAAACAGCGGAACTTTATGATCTTGTGGCCACGGCACACGAAAACGACGAAGACTACGCGGCGGCGGCCAAGCGCCTGGCCTGCATCCCACTTGACAGCAGCCAGCGCCGGGTCAGCCAAGAGGACAAGGTACGCGTGTGGGTGCGCATTGTGCGCGACTACCTGGAGGTGGACGACAGCGCGGCCGCCGAGTCGTACCTCAACAAGCTCAAGAGCGTCATATTCGACGTGCACGACCAGGAGCTCAACCTGCACTTCAAGCTGTCGCAGGCACGCATCAACGACGCCAAGCGCGAGTTTTTGGCGGCCAGCACGGCGTACCACGACATCAGCTACAGTCCCGCCATTGCCGAGGAGGAGCGCATGCACACACTGAGCATGGCCATCAAGTGTGCCATTCTGGCCCCTGCCGGACCGACGCGCAGCCGTGTGCTGGGCCGCCTCTACAAGGACGACCGCGCGACACACCTCGTGGACGAGTACTCGATTCTTGAGAAGATGTTTCTGAACCGTCTGCTGACGCCGGCCGAGGTCGACAAGTTCGCCAAGAGCCTGCAGCCGCACCAGCTGGCCACGACAGCGGACGGATCGACGGTGCTGGCCAAGGCTGTCGTCGAGCACAACCTGCTGGGCGTTTCGCTGTTGTACCGCAACATCCCGATTTCCAACCTGGCGCGGCTGCTGGGCTTGGACGCGGCCAAGGCCGAGGAGACGACAGCACACATGGTCGAGCAAGGCCGACTGGTGGGCCGCATCGACCAGATTGACGGCTACGTGTGGTTTGAGGGCGGCGAGGCGTCGGGCGAAGCGGGCAGTGGGCGTACTGAGGGTGCCGTGGACAAGGAGCTGCGCCAGTGGGACACCAACGTGCAGAGCTTGGCCGAAGAGGTCGAGAGCATTTCAAACGCGCTTCAGCAGGTGTACCCGGGATTTGTCGCGCAAAATCTTGCAGCTTGAGCACACTCGCCAGATATGACCGCCGTGTGGCCATAGGATGATAGGTGATGGTTCATGCATATGTGCATATATCGGCGTTCTGGGCCCGCAAGCGACTACATGCCGCTTGTCATGTTTATGCTTATTCTCTTATTTTTATTTTAGCTCTGTTTTCTTTACTTTTCTTTTCCTTTCCTTTTACGAAGTGCCGACGGAGTATTTAAAAACATATGGAAAATGTCTACATTTATTAAAAAACCTATCATCGCTTGCCATATACTAAATTACCAAAAAAAAGCATACTAGAACTCCAGTTTTATCTCATGCGGCCTTGCGGGTATCCTTTAGTCAGTACACGAAGAGAAAACAGTACCCAAACGAGAAAGAACAAAAAACAAGAGGCAGAATCTCATTGCCAACTCTGTCTAACCCCTTCTCTCATCTAGTCGAGGTCCACTCGCCGTACAACTACATAACCGTGGCGGAGCTCGTCCGGCCCCAGCTTCTCTTCTTCGAAGTTCACATCATCATCTCGGAACATCTTGCGTTTCCGGGGACGCACCGTAGAGAGTGTTGTTGGCTCCGGGCCGGCGGCAGCGCTTTCTTCTGCTTTAAGGATGCCAATGAGAGATTCGGCGACAAGCTCACCCATGCGGTCGTAACCGTCGGGTGAGAAGTGCACGGCGTCGTCCCAGTAGCGTCTACGCTCGTCGGCGGACATATCTTCGTATGAAAAGGCCTTTTTAAAGTCAAACGCATGGCTGCATCAGTTAGTGCCACTCTCTGAAGCCCAGGCAGGGCGTCGTCCGACTATGCGTCAAGGAATACGTACAAATTCGAGCTTGTGTAGCCGAGGATCAACGAGTTGAGCTCGTCGCGGCGCTTGTTGATGCGGTTTACGGGACCGCCTGGCCGTCGTTGAATGGCCACCTCGGGAACGGTGAGTGCCAGCACCTTGGTCTTTCGTAACTTCGCAAAGGACCACGTGCGCTCGAGATGTTCGAAAATGGTTTCTGGCCGACTGTTGATGGCTAGGTCATTTGTACCGCCGAGCACGATCACCCAGTCGAAGATGCTGTCTTGTGGGGTGCCTCGCTCGCGGTAGACCGTCCGCAGCCGACTGGAGAAGTGTTGTGTGAGTCCGCCGTCCAAGCCATCCGCTTCGATGTCGACCTGCAATCCCGGAAAGGCCTCTTGCAGTTTCCGGCGCACCATGTGGAGGTAGGGATGGTATTGTAAGCCATCCTGGGTATAGCCGGCTGTGAGTGAGTCGCCGAAGCAGAGGATGCGAAGTGGCCGCAGGGCCATAGCGACGCCAACAGCAGAGGAGGGAGAAGAGTGGTAGAAACAGAGAGGAGTGCGGGGAAGAGGACGACTTGCCGCTCGGAGGCTGGAAGTCGAAGGTTGGACGTCGGCGGCCGGAGTGAATCGGATCGCAGTGAAGGTGATACAGATGTTGGTGTAGAAATATTTTATGTAGAAGCAGTAGGTGGAGCTGGCGTATGGATGGTGAGTTGTGAATACTTATCAGTGTGACTGGGTTGGAGGCGAGAGGTTGAACGGATGTGATCAAATGTCGGTGGGGCAAAACTGGGAGCTGCCAGATGCCCTGTAAGTGTGAGTTTGTTGCCTGCCATGGGATGACGCTGGCCTTCCAGACCATTCTAGGCGGCGGGCGCACTACAGGCGACCCATTTCAGCGTAGGACAGGACGCCACAGGTAGCTTACGGGCAGTTAGGCTGAGGCGATTTAGACACTCGTGTGGAGAACTGTGACAGGTGGTTGTGTCATTTGTCACCCTGTGGTTATTGGGATTCTGAACATCAACAGAAGCCGACTGGCCGAAACTGTACAAGACCGTAGTGTATGTTTCTCAGAAGCACAAAACGATAACCATCAGCATTTTTGATGAAGTATGGCTGTACAAGAGTCCAGTATTCAGTTCATGCCGAAGGCGGCCTGCCACTGATATATAGACGTGCCGTCTGATACCGAGTCGACTGCATGGAAGACATACCATTACAAGTCCGCCATCAGCAACCATTTCTGTTCCTTTTGACGCGTGCCCGATACGCCGACTTGGTTCATGGGAAACCCAGCCATGATGTCCACATGTGACACGGCATGTGCACAAATTCACGCGCACTGTTTGTTGTGATAATACAGCAGCTATTATCATGACCCGGCTCGTACCATTTCTTAAGCACGGTGTTCGACTGCATTTCGCAATTCACAATCTGCAGGGGCCCATGCCAGCCGGCGTTGTTTGCTTCTCGCGCTCTTTGAGACGGTTTGCTTTAGGGAGGCTCTTCCTGGAGTGCCTCGCTTGTCGTTTGCTTTGGGCCCCTCCCTCGCTCCCTACAACGGCCACCTGCTCACATTTCTCCCTTCCATTACTCTTCCATTGTGCATCCGACATTCCTGTGCGTCTTTTCCCCTGCCGCTTAATCCCGGCCATGTTCTCTGCACGCTGATTGGCCCGGCCGCGCATCAGGTGGGCTATTTAGCCTGGCCGCCCCCGTCCCTTGGAGCATGCGCTAAAAATGCGGGTGCTCTTTGGTTCTGCGTAATGCGCCATCCAACGAGGTGTCTACTGACTGGAGTAAGCCACTCACAGTCACCTTTTACGGCGGATATGCACTGTGCAGTGTGCCGGCGTACGAGTAAGACATTGGGCGTCGGTTGTTTCTGCTCGCCTCTTCCACTGTCCATGCTCCGCTCGCTCCTGCCATTCCTGCCGGTCTTTCTAAATTCACAGGCCTCGTGACAGAATCCACCACGTCGAGACGGAGGACGGCACCTGGAAATACGTCGTATGTTGATGCGAATTTCTAGATCGCCCTGGGCTGCTCCAGTCGTTAGCCTCCCTTGTTTACCGTTGGCTTCATTACTTTTTGTACTATATGCGTATTCTGGTCAGGGAAACTTTAATTTCTTAGTACTGCTATTGCTGCCCTTTTGCGAGGGTTTCTTGAACCAATTTTCAGTTTGTTTCATGCGATGCTCCACTGCTGTTCGCTCCTTCCTTGCTTCGTTTCCTGCGTACACCGTAGTTGCCATTGGCGTCTGGGTTGTACTCAGTGCTTGTTTGCTCCTGACATTTTGACGTTATCTTACGTTTCTCTCCTACCACTTAGTGGCTCTCCCTTCCCCGCGTGTTGTCCCCTTCCGGCCTATCACTTTCTTCGCCGCGTCCAGACCATTACGGCGAAATCACCCACCTCGACACACCTCGAAGCAGCGGCAAAGCCAAAAGTTTCACATCTCTGCCCAGGACAGCCGACCGTTGACAGCGTCCTTGTGTTTCCGAATATCGTCTAATCCCCCTGTTGCCACCGACGGATGCTGCCGTGACAATCTCCCACTGTCCCGCGAACCGCCATTTCACTCCCATCAAGTCGACACTCCGTCTGCGTCTATCTCTCCGGCAAAGACGAGACTTTGGACCCCAATTCCGAAGACGCGAGAGGGACACCAGACCACGGTACGGACGGCGACGACGACAGCGACAACTACGGTCCATACGCTATACAATATCGCTCTCCGGCTGCCGGCCTGTTTCGACATGTCTGGGAGTTTGGCGGTGCTCTAGCTCTGGCTCTTTGCCAGACGATAGCCAGGACCGCAGCGTCCATCGCGAGCGCTCCGACAAGATTGACGCCAGGTAACCCGACAGGGTATCGACCGAGCCAGCCCCGTTTGCGTACGCTGCGCATTTCCCTTGACTTGCATATTGCTCTCAACGACAATCGTACACGACTTTCGACCGCCTCCCTCCTCCTTTCCTGCCAGCCTTTCACGCGTCACCACCCACCGCATTGATATCTTGAGGCGTTATTCCTTGATGCCAGCCCCCAATCCGTGCCCGACATGGAGCAACCAGACCCCGATATGCTCGCCCCGCCGGCGGTGACGTCGCTACGCGATGCTGCTGGCAGTATGCAGCGGTCATTAAGTGAGGACATCCGCGAAGAGCGGGACGAGCTGCGTGAGGCCGCCGAGCAGACCCTCAACGTCTTCATGGACCTCAACCTCGACGGCACCATCCGCTGGGTCAGTCCCTCGTGGGTAGACGTTCTCGGCACGCCCGTCGACGCCATGCAAGGCACTGCCGTGGCCGACCTGGTCATTGGCGACAACAAGGATGTCTTTGCCGATGTTGTCAAGTTTATGAAGAAGGATGACTCTCGCAGTCAGATTGTTCGCTTTACCATGCGCCTCGGCGCCCTCTCTAAGCTCCTCCCTGCCGATCTCTCTCTCGGCCCATCCGAAGACGACAACGCGACAGACAGTCCGGATACACCGGCCGACACCATCGACCTCGAGGCCCAGGGCATTATGGTGTACGACACTGCGTCAGGTGACGAGAGCCACACCATGTGGATGATTAGGCCATGGATGGCGCCGCGCGAGATCAAAATCAACCTCCCTCCTCTTATTGTCAACTCCCTGGGCTCCGGCGCCGAGATACTCGCCAGCTACCTCACGCAGCTCGCCGAGCATGGCCTTGACGACGATAAGGACCACCCCCCGCCACAACCTGTCCTCTGCCGCATCTGCGAGCGCCAGATTCCACCATGGTGGTTTGAGAAGCACACCGACCTCTGCCTTCAGGAGCACACTGCTGAAATGGACGTCCAGATGGCCCAGGAGAGCCTGACCGAGCACCGCCACGCCATCGTGAAGGTGCTCGATGCCCTTGAGGCGCGGAAAAGCCGTTCGTTGACTGGCGACTCGTCGCCACTGCTCATGGCCGAATACAAGGGCCTGTCCATCGGCCCACCGCTCTCCTCCAACTCTTCCTCGTCTGCGACTTCCTCCCCTTCGCCCGCTCCGGGCCGCTCCCGAGATCGTTCGTCTGGCTTCGGACACGCACGAGGTCGATCGTTTGCGATTCGGCGACCTCAGGCGCGGATCGTCGAGCTATTACTGGATCTGTGCGACACGGCCATCGAGATCAGCACGCCGGCGATTAAAGAGTCGTCCTCATCCCAAGCCCCCGGCGAACTGCGCACACAGTCTCCCCAGTCCGAGTCGCGCATCTCCCAGGTGACCCAGTGGCAGTCACCAAGCAACAACACACTGGAGCAAGAGCAGGGCCTCGCATTGCTCTGTTCTGATACGGAAAAGGTCGCAAAGGCTAAAGTCGAGACCGTTTTGCGCCACCGCCGTGTTATCGAATATGCCGAGCGTATTCGTGTCGAGTTTGCTGTCATCGTTCAAGATTGCATCGACGGTGCCATGCGTAAGGCCGCCAGGATTGCTGCTGGTCGCCTTAGCGACTCAACCGAAGACGAGGAAGAGGATGACGTGGACCAAGTCCCTCCTGTGGATGGCGAGACTGAACCGCACACATTTGAAGAGGGCTTCTTTGCGGGCTCCTTCGATGCCCCATCTACCTTGGCCATGGCCCTCGAAAAGGCCCAAATTAGCGACAACCCTGACGACCGCCGACTGTCCCAGGCAACCCACTCTCTAAAGTCTGGCAGCCCTTCCGAATGCCCGACCCCCAAATCGAACAGAGGCGCAATTGGCATTCCTAGCCACCGCGACTCGCGTCGTGGATCGATGCTATTCGAACACGATGCAGGTGACAGTGATGGCAGCTTGCGGTCGTCGTCCCTCGCGTCTCGACCACCACCACGCACCGAGTCTCCCATCTCGGAATTCGGCGACCTTCGTCGCCAGGCTAGCTCGCGCCAGCATCACCGACGAAGTCTCATCATGGCAGGTACCGAATCACCACGCCGACAGGAATCGCCATCTCGAGCTGCTGGCCAAGCGCCGTCTTCACCCCTGCGCATCTCAAAACCCAGAAGCATACCATTGCCCGTGGACGGCATGGCTTCTCCGGAGGCGTCTCCTATGTTGCCAACTAGCGAATTTGGTTCACCCTACATGAGTACCCAGCACTCTTTCCAGCAACAGGCACACCACCACCAGCTACATCACCACCGCAGGCAATCGTCTATCTCCCTGTCGGCTGCTGGTGATTTCTCTGTGCGACAAGCGCCATCATCGCCGCGACTCAGTGCCGCTATCGGTGCTGCTCCCATGGCCCGCGCTGTCCCGCCATCGATTAAAGATTTTGAGGTCATTAAGCCGATCAGCAAAGGTGCTTTCGGTAGCGTCTACTTGTCCAAAAAGAAGTCGACTGGCGAGTACTTTGCCATCAAGGTGCTGAAGAAGGCAGACATGGTAGCCAAGAACCAAGTCACAAATGTCAAGGCGGAGCGTGCAATCATGATGTGGCAGGGCGAGAGCGATTTCGTGGCCAAGCTCTACTGGACCTTCTCGAGCAAGGACTACCTTTACCTGGTCATGGAGTACCTCAACGGCGGTGATTGTGCATCCCTCACAAAAGTTCTCGGTTGTCTGCCAGAGGATTGGGTCAAAAAATATCTGGGTGAGGTCGTCCTTGGCGTCGAGCACCTCCACAACCGCGGCATTGTCCATCGCGATCTGAAACCCGACAACCTCCTTATCGACCAAAAGGGCCATCTTAAGTTGACCGATTTTGGGTTGTCCCGTATGGGATTGATTGGGCGTCAAAAGCGTGCCCTGAACAGCACAGCATTGGAGCCAGTACCCGACTTACTGAAGCAAGGTCCTTTTGCCCGTTCGGCCTCGATTACGTCATCCCGCTCGGCGTCGCTTGACCTCCACAACTTGGGCGCCCACTCACCAGGCGGTACTCCCCAGATGACCCCAAGCGACTCAATTGGTAGCTTTAGCCAGCCGTCGTACTTCAACCTGAGCAACAACCTACCCCACGAAGCGCGCCGTGTCTCAGGCCAACGGAGCGACAGTGGTGGCAGCGATGCACTGACCAACATGATCAGCAACCTCTCGCTCACCGACGTGTCTTCCGCTAATTTACCACCTGCCATCCATTCCCCACAAAACGATGCCACTGCCACGGAGGGCAGCGGTTCCCCCGACCTCCCCTCCCTGCAAGCGACCAATACACAAACCAGCAGTGGCCCAGAACAGGGCAAGGGCACCCCGCCTCAGTCGACTATGCCTCCACCGAACTGGGCGCTCTTTGACCCCGAAGACACGAACCGCCGCTTCGTAGGCACGCCCGACTACCTAGCGCCAGAGACGATCAAGGGCGAGCCCCAGGACGAGACAAGTGATTGGTGGTCTGTCGGTTGCATCATGTTCGAGTTCCTTTATGGTATCCCGCCGTTCAATGCTGGAGAGGCAGAGCAGGTTTTTGAGAACATCCTGGCGCGTCGCATCCACTGGCCAGACGAGATGGACGACGACGTGTCACCGGAGGCCAAGGACCTCATCAACAAGTTGCTCTGCATGGACCCACATGCCCGTCTGGGTGCCAACCGCGACGAGAAGTTTGCCTCGGGCGGCGAAGAGATCCGAAGCCACCCTTGGTTCGAGGGTGTGAAGTGGGACACCTTGTTGCAGGACGAAGCCCAATTCGTGCCGCAACTTGAAAACATTGAAGACACCGAGTACTTTGATGCACGCGGAGCAACCCTACAGTCGTTTACAGAGGAGATCGAGGACCCGTCGTCATCTACGAGCGCACCTAGCACCGACTACGTCGACCGGCCCCACGATGCTTTGTCCCGCGTGCGGTCTCAGGCGAACTCGATGAAGCGTGGTCTAATGCCGCTACACATTCCGCCACATGTCCGTGATCTCAAGAGCCGTCGTTTAAGCGAGCCGGTGGTGACGGACGACTTTGGAAGCTTTGCGTTCAAGAACCTACCAGTGCTTGAGAAGGCCAACAAGGATGTCATCCAGAAGCTCCGGGCGGAGGCTCTTGCTGCACAAAGCAAGCAGCCACCAGCGGGTGGGAGCTCAAGTGGCGCAGGCAGTAGCAGCACTTTGGCCTCTCCAAGCCCTGTGCTCGAAGGCAGCCCTGTCCTGCCAACTCCTGCAACCGCAACCAACCCGCAAATCCAGCGAACACTGTCGAATGCCAAGGGCACCCAACGACCGCAGTCGCCGTCTGGATTGAGCCAAGCGAACTCTTCACCTAGCCGCGTTTCGCAGCCCTCGTCACCGCTCCTTGTCTCATTCCACGCGGCACCCGACGGCCGGCGCAAGGTCTCCAATGGCATGAGTCTGCTCCCGCCAGCCAACACGTCCGCCGGCATGCAGCACCTGCCCGGCAACCCGCTGATTGAGATCCCCCGTGTGCCGCCTAGCCTGCAAAAGGCCGCGACCACGGTCGGCGTGTCGTCTCCGGTCAAGGGGCGAGGTGCACCGCCGCCATTGCCTCTGTCGCCGCAGAAGGCTCTCTCTACACCGCGCCAGTCCAGCAACCCAACTAGCCGCTCGCGATCTTTGACTGTGGGCTCACAAGAAGGCAGTCCTGTCGCCACCGAAATTCTTAGTCATCGCAACCGCCGTAGCCAGGTGTTTGACATGTCACCCTCCTCGTCGGACAACGAAGGCGATAAGGCTAACGCGATTTTGCTTCGCGTGCAACGCCGGCGGCAGAGCTCGAGACGCATGTCTCAGATTGCCATTGACAGCGGCCCCGTGTTCCGCCCTCTGGACGTGCTGATCTGCGAGGACCATCCCGTGTCTCGCATGGTGATGGAGAAGCTGCTGGAGAAGCTTCGTTGCCGTACCATCTCGGCGGCTAGCGGTCCTGAGGCTGTACGGTATGCAATGAGCGACATCAAGTTCGACATCATCTTTATGGAATACAAGCTGCCGCAGATCAGTGGCGCCGACGTGGCTCGTATGATTCGAGACACCACCAATACCAACTCACAGACACCGATTGTGGCGATCACGGCCTATCTGAAGGAGCTCCAGGCGCGACAGCACTTCGATTCATTAATTGAAAAGCCCATTAGCTCCTCAAAGTTGACCGAAGTACTGGCCAGCCTCTGCCACTGGAAGCCACCAGCACCAAACCAAGCATCATCACCTTCGTTGTCCCTATCGCACCCTGCTCCGTCCGGCCTCCGTCAGGAGAACGGACGACTGGAGGACAGCCCAACGTCCGGATCGTCCATTTTCCCTCACCGACCAGGCAGCAGCTTCCGGGGCTCTAGCCGAGGTGACTCTATCGGATCGAGCCTGTTCGGTGACTCAGAGTCAATGACGACGGACGACATCCCCTCCATTGCCAATCGGAAAGCCGCAGGCGATTGGGACGACAGCGGTTTGGGGATCTCCCAGGAAGAGTTCCTCAGCTCTGGCGCCCCAAAAGCGGCCCAGGCCGTGCCGCCTGCCTCCCAACCCGGAGCAGGGCCCGATTCCAAGCCGGCGACGCTAAATACACAGTCGACCGACACGTCGTCCGAGCAAACCCACGTGTCTGTGCCCGTGAATTTGGCCATGCACTCCCCTGTTCCCGTGCCCCTGCCGCAGAGGTCGCTCGAGAAGTTGCGTGCCAAGCGTGAAGCCATTGAGAAGCGACGCCTCGACAGCAATATTGATTCGGCCGATGACGAAGACGACGAGCTAGGCCTGGGTCTCATCAGTACGATAACCAACGCCAGCAGCGGCAGCTCAAGTAGCGGCGGTAGTGGTCGTCAGGGCCCCCAACCGCCTTCCCAATTGTCAAGCCAGCAGCCACCGACGGGCGCTGCGCGCCAGCATTTCCGCACCAAGTCGATGCTTCCGTCATCGAAGCTCGGCATTGAGATGATGCGCGCCAATAGCCACGATAGCGTGGTACTGTATGCCGGATCGGAGAGTGCCGTGACAAGTGCTAGCACGAGCACGGCAGGCCCGACCACCCAGGTAGCCACGCCTGCCGACACAGATACAGAAGGGGCTGGTCCTGCGGGTGGAGAATTGTCAGTCCTTCGTACACCCGTGGCACAAGAGACGCACGCAACACAAGAGGCACAGGAGGTACAAGAGGAGGACGAGTACGATGAAATGGCTGATACGACCGTGATTCACACCTCCCCTGATGAGTTGACTGCGGCCTCACCTGGCAAGGACAGGGACGCTGCCCAGTCTGCGGACGCAACCGTTGCCGAGACCAAGGCTGCTGCTAGTGCCAGGGCAGATTCACCAAATGACTCGGAGAATTTTATCTGAGCACTGCAGCAGGGTGCGGATACAGGAGACGGGAGAGTCGAGGGCTGTTTTGCGTTTCGAGACGGGGTAGGAGTGTGAGCAAGAAGAGCGTGTGCTTTCGTTCTTTCTCATTCTTCTCATAGGTTCCTTTTTCATTGTTTGCTTTATTTTATGTCCATGTAAACGAAATTACTGCAGCGAGGCGTTTGATGGCTTATCCCGAGATTGTTGAGCCTTACTTTGACTGTCAATTTCATTTGTTTACTTTGCTTTGATGCCGTTTACTTTGTTTTTTGGCTCTATGTGTACCTTTCGGGATTTGACCAGCTTGCCGCTATTGCGGTCTTTGCTCTTGGAGTTTTTATTTTCCGAAGCGCCTCTTGCGTTAAAACTATTACTTTTTTTTTAAAAAAAATTACAATTAGGGAAACGTCGAACAGGGGCATAATGTCGTATTGTCGTAGTATCATGCATTGTTTTGAGCTATATGTTTTACCTGCCTCAGGTCGTACGCTATCATTTCGACCGTCCTAGGCGTCAGTTACTTATAAGGGCCAAATAAGTACTATGCAATTCTCCTCAGACTATGTACATTTCGACACGGTGATTAAGACTATTTTGACACTATTTGAAACCAGCGCGCCCTGTGACACGCCCATGCAGTCGTCTTGCTCGTAAGGAACAGTCGCCGGGGTGGGATGTGTCACTCCGAGGAGTCTCAATTCAAAGCATCTCCGTCTTATGTCGATGCAGCACGACTGCTCCGAAAACTTTCGTCAACATACGCCGAGACGAATTGTTGACAAACAGTGATCTTAAGTGAAGCGGGTGGCACGGGAGGCAGCGGGGAAAGTATTTCTCCTCTAGCACCTAGGTGCCGATCTAAGGTTTAGTGTTGCCAATCGAACGGCCGATCTCCGCATTGGATATCTGCAGGCCTGTTTCATGAGTCAACAGACCGTGAGTCAACGAAGAACCGAAACTGCAGACTATTTAATCTGCTACGTCTACGATCACCAAAGCACAGTCAACAAACATCGTCATCCTGAACCCATGACACACCGCACCACAGAACATCATGTCTCCCAATACCGCCATCCGCGATGAGCCGGAGCACATCCGTACGCTCTTGACGCGCCTCCACGGTGAGTCAAAGGCCCAAGAAGCGTCGCTGTCGCGGGCAGACTACGACAAGGCGTTGATCCACGATGTGATGCGCGACAAGTTCATCGCGCTCGACGAGGACAAGGCGCACTACATCTACCAGCTGTTGCGGGCGACGGAGGCGACCACGATCGTGGAGGCAGGCACGTCGTTTGGTGTGAGCACCATCTACTTGGCACTGGCCGCTCTGGCGAATGCCAAGGCCGCAGGCGGTGGCAAGACGGCCCGTGTTGTGGCGACGGAGCACGAGCCGACCAAGGCGGCACGGGCACGCGAGCACTGGCAGCTGTGCGGCGACGACGTGGTCAAGGCGATTGACCTGCGCGAGGGCGACCTGCGCGAGACGCTCAAGACGGATTTGGAAGCGGTCGACTTTCTCCTTCTGGACAGTAGGTCACGAACCCCGATTGCTGAGCCTTCTTTGCATGAACTCTGGTTATTCACACACACAGTCTGGACACCCATGGCGCTGCCGACGCTCAAGATTGTGCAGCCCAAGCTGCGACACGGCGCGCTGATTATTGCCGACAACACGGTCACGGCCAAAGAGAGCTACAAGGAGTTTTTGGACTACGTGCGTGCGCCGGGCAGTGGTTTCGTTGGCACGACGGTGCCGTTTGAAGGTGGCCTCGAGGTGCTTGTCTATGCTCCAAGCCAGTAGGCTAAACGTGCCATTGACATATTGAGGACTTTGGAAAGACAGACAAGCTCAACCCTAGCTGTAAGCCTGGTCGATTGTTTACCTTTGTTTTATGAGTGGTGTTTTATGCAAGCGCCATTTCAACAATGCATGGTTAAGTAGGGTTAAGGAAAGAATGCAAAATAAGCTCATATTCATAAAAACATATTCACTATGGACTCTCCTCCCGCAGCTGTCTGTCTTCCTCTATCTATAGATTTCACAAAGTTGGTCCATCAAAGGGGACTTAGTAGGCACGACCTGTCTCACGAACACCGACAATGGCGAGACGCAGGTAATCGGGGTTTTCCTCGAGATGCTTCTTGAAGTCGCCGGTGCGCAGCTCGTCGACGTCCCAATTGGCGGCCACGTAGCGGCCATGCAGAAAGTGGGCCTCCTTGGAGGCGGCCCAGACGGCGAATGAGCCGGGCAGGTCAAGGGAGTCGAAGGGCAGCATGTCCTCGGTGATGCCAAAGGCCCTCCAGCCGTCGCCGTACAGCATGCCCGGGTGGAAATTGAGGACCTGTAGCTGATCGGGCTTGTAGGCATCGGCGATCTGCATAATAGCAAACGTGGCGGTCGACTTGGTCAACGGATACGAGGGCCGTGCGGCTACGATCGGATTCTTCAGCATGTGGATGGCGCCGGTTGTGACGTGGAGGAGTGCCTTGGGGCTCTTGAAAAAGTCCTTTTGCTTCTGGAACTTCTCAGCAAAGTGCAGCGGGCCCTTGACGTTGACCTCAAACTCGCGCCACAGGGACTCGATGCCGAGGTTGTGCAGCAGCTTGGCCTCGGCAAAGTAAGCGGCGTTCAGCACCAGGATATCGATGGAAATATCCTCGGCCGCGAGCCAGTCCCAGAGGCCAACTACCTCGTCGTCCTTGGACACGTCCACAGATCGGGAAAGGAACGTTGTGGGCGACACGATGCTGGTGGCGTACGACTTGAGCTCCTCGACAGCTGCATCCAGAACAGCCTTGTTGCGGCTGACAATGATGACCGTTTTGGCATGGGCCGTGGTGAAGGCCGTTGCAATAGCCTTTCCAATGTTGGTGCCACCACCGGTGATCAGCACCGTCTGGCCGGCCTGGGCCAGCTCAGGCCGTGCAGGGTCAATGGCTCCATAGGTGCTGTTGTGGGAGACCATGGTGAAGGTAGCCGGGGCCGTATCCATGTTGGCCAGAGAGGACAGGTCGAAGTCTTTGTGAGCGGCCATTGTGGGGGGTGGGGGAGATGGGAGAGAGGTGAAGTATAAAGAATAAAGAAAGTGGCCGATGTGGATATGTGATAGCGAAAGTGAAGATGTTGGGATGAGGACGACTTGATTCAAGGATTGATGATCATGTTTTGTGTGACCTTATATATCAATTGACGACCTCAAATTCAAGACGACTACATCACACGTCTCGATCGCCGACATTTCAAAGCGTCAAACACAACCAACGGCGTGCTTAAAGTCTCAGTAGGTTTTGTCATAGCCTTACGTGACAAAGACCGTATATTTTCCTGTCTGCGGACGCTTGTGGACATTTGCGGGCGTCAGTGGCCAAATCTGCAGACCTGACGCGGACACGCCGCGGTGGCATGCGGATAGTATCGTGCGGACTGGGCTCAAATAACCTTATTGTTACCGCGGACGGATGTGGGCTACCAGCGGCACATTGTGGTATCTAGCCTAATTAAGCTAGCGCCCACCCGCTGTCAAAGCAAAATCAAGCGCTTGGTGGTAATGGCCAACACAAAGTCGCCGAAGGCCACTGCACATAGTGTAAGTCGTCTATGAAGCGGTTGAACATCACTTGCCGATACATTTGTTTGTATTTGATAGTGGTGATGCCATTCCTTAATCCTTGGCCAATAGCGTTACAACGATCGAAGAAGCCTGGGCAGCAATCTTGTGATAATGCTCTCCTCTTCAATTGCCCAATACTTCATTACATAGGTGTCAAAGTCAAAACAGGAGGATAGAATGGGTCGGTTAGAGGATGTAATTACGTCGGTTGTCCAACGGCAATGACATGCCAACATCGACGGGAAAGTTGATGTACTGGAACGGCTCCGTGATAAGTCGTAGTGAAAGTCATTGTGCCTTGGTGATGACAGCATCTCGGCAAGGTCTGGTCAGTTCCGGGGGCCGAGGATAGGCCTCGTGGCACGTTTTGCGCTTGGCGCCCACGAGTCGGCCGTCGCCCCGAGCTTTGTCGTACCAGACACGTCGACGCTGTCAACTGGCTGAGGAACTGGTGTCGCTTTTACGGTCGGCTTTACAGCGGACGGAAGTGGACAGAAGAGGTGGGAGTTGGGTGTAACCGGGCGGAACTGTGCGGGGTCTAGCCTAATTAAGCTAGCGTCCGCGTGCTGCCACTGCCGTCGCTGACAAACAGGTGGTAAAGAACGAAGGAGCGATGGATGCCAGCAATCGACCACAATCTGCGCTTCTGCTCAGCGGAATACCATTCCACAACCACACACGAGGGGCATGCCAGTATGGGGATGTTCCTTGAGCCAAAGGCGTGCAAGGCGTGCGCCAAGTCGAAGCGCAAGTGCGGTCGCGAGCAGCCTGCGTGTTTGCGCTGCCAATCCCGCGGTACCGCCTGTAACTACCCGCCGTGGCGACCAGGCACCTTTGTGGCGATCCTCGACGATGCGCCGCCTACGGTGAACACGGCCCCCACACCGTCGCTGCCTATCACGTCGACCAACGGCACCCCGGAGGCAAGCATTCCGCCAGCGCGCTGCATGCTGAGTCGACCCCCGCTCTCACCCTCAGCATCGTCAGCCGCGATTGTGCCGACTGAAACTCCATTGGCTTGCCATACGCCACTACCACGTATCAGCTCACGACAGTGCCTGGCCTGGTTTCTCAACACCAACTCGTGGAAGATTGAACACTCGGAATCGTCCGTGACGACAGCGTACAGCAGTTCATTTCTCAAGATGTATGTGGCGCGTATGCAGGACTGGCTGGCGCAGTGGGCCGACACTGGGACGAACCCGTTTATCCACCTGCGCCTCTACAATGCGCGATTCCCGGACAACCTGCAGATCGCCTACACGACACTGACGACATACCGCAACCGCACCAAACACAACGCCGAGCTCGTCCTCGACATTGTCGAGAACCAGGCGAGCAAACTGGTTGATGGCAGCGGCGACGGCATCCTCTCCGGCGGCAGCGACGCGTCGCACACCCTCAGCCTCCTGGACCAGTGCGCCCGGTTGCACGCCCTCATTGTGTACCAGACGATCAGCCTCTTCGACGGCGACATCCGGGCGCGCCACCTTGCCGAAGGCCGTCTGCCACTGCTGAGCCGCTGGGCAATGCAAGTCGTGGACAGCGCGCGACAAAAATTTTCGTCGACATCGACTGTGCTGGACATGACGACGGCCCTGTATTTTGGGCCCATGGACAGCCACGAGCATCCCTGGTACCTTTGGATCTTGACGGAGAGCATACGGCGGGCGTGGCTGATCGCCAACGGCCTCAATGCTATTTATTGCATGCTGCAGCGTGGCTGGCACCCGTGTCCCGGCGGCGTCATGATTACGACGCGCAGAGGTCTCTGGGATGCGCCGTCGGCGCTCGAATGGGAGGCAAACTGCTCGGTCGGCGCGCCGGAGGGAGTCGGATTCATGCCCCGGTTCGCGCTGAACCAGCTGTTTCGGACGTCAACGCCGGACCAAGTGGATGACTTTACGCTGCTCATGATGGAGATTACCTACGGCATCGAGCCGGTGCAGAAATGGCAAAAGGAGAATGCGACGACGGAATAAGCAAGTCGGCAGATGCGACGCGTGGCTGTTTTCGTCTACGTAGAACCCCAACGACCGGTCCGTCCGCTGGATCCCCAGGCTGTACTATTTTCACGACGATGTCAAAACAAGACAAGAGGTCGACTCAGCGCTATGCAGCACGTACTAGGAGAACGTTGATGCGGCCGACTCTCATTCCACACGACTCCCTCACCGACAAGGGAAACGCCAGTGCCACGCACTAGGACATTATTAAGGAACACATTATGGCGATGACATGGTGGTGCGAGACGGTGCCCGAGGACCGACGTACACGGGCTCGTGCTACTCGGCCACGCATGGCCTACAACTTGGATATCCAGGCTGTCCTACTGTTTCCGGACTGCGTCAACCCGACCGACCTACATTGAAATGGATCCACAGCGGTACATAATGACCACTGTCCCTCGAATATATGCGCATAGAGCAGATGTGCTCCTCGGTGCGTAACGACCTTTACCATCCATCCCCGAGGGCCAGCCGGTAGAGCAGCCACCACCGCCACGGCTAGTCTATGGCGAGGTAGGCGAGGGCTACAATTCCATAGCGACCTTTCAATGACTGGTCAGACAACACTGCTCAGACCATTCTTCAGGCCAAAAGAAAGTGCAATCTTTGCACATCGACGGCGCCTTTGGCCAGGGTATAGCCAACAACAGGGCGGCGGATGGCCATGCGTGCAAGCCAGTCGACGCCGACCCGCAGCACGGCGCCAGTGACTATGTGATGAGCAGCCGTATGATGGTGGCGTCCTATTGGAGGGTGGTGGTATAGCTGTAGGGCATAATGCTACAGAACAGCGAGGGCGATCCTGCTGAATGCTTCAATACTGATATTAAAACTAGCACGTTGTTGTCAATATCTAAGTATCTTCAGAGCCATATCTCACCATTGCCCAATTAATGTCCACTTCGCGGTAAATTATGAATTGCAAAATAGACCCCAATTCCATGCTAGCAACCCATGAAAGCGCTCGACTGTGTACAGAAACCGATTTGTAGACGACACGCTTCTAAGCTGGTTCGTAAACGAGAAAGAAAACTTGGTATACTTTCGACTAAGAAATCATGGCAACAAACAGGTCAAAATTAAACTAATTGACAGTAGTGGTGGACAGAAGATAACGAAAGCAAATACTGAAACCATGAAAAAAGTATTGAATGTTGAAGCGGTGTAAAATCAGAGGTCCAACGCGAAACATGAAAGAAAGCACCAATATGAAATAAACGACAAAACAAGACGACAAAACAAAAACGCATCGAAATTTAAGAATAGATGGCAACAACGAAGACTCATAACAGGAGAGGGAGTTAGCGCACGACTCGGCTCCTTGCCTATCTAATTTTTTCCTTACTGATGTATGACGAACCCTTGTCGTTATACACCCAGACGCGTTTCCCATTGAACACTCCTTCTTTCCATTGTTCCCGTCTTGTCGACCTCGACTTTCTGTTTGCACATCTGAAGAAGTACTCGTCGGGCGACAACATGTGGGAAACTTTCCTAACGGTCACAAATTCAACATAGGCCTGTATGTTGTCAGAGTTTCCCGAGACAGGATCAACCGGCATTCGACCAGAGGACGTGTCAGTATCCTCCCTACCACTCGGCCCGTGACCGGGTCCTGTTGCTGCCTCATGTGGCCTCGTATTAGAAGCCGATGGAATGGCGGTGTGAGCTTCGCCAGCTTGTCCGGACGCTTCGCCCATATCGATGACTGCCTGTCCACTCCCCAAATCATAGTCGGTAAGGTCAAATTGTGTTTGGGATTCGGTAAACTGGTCCCAGGTCATGTCATCGGCATCGTCGTGCATCATCGTTCCCTCGTATCCAATTTGAGGCTCAGCGCTGGGAAGGCTCGAAACGCCCGGTGTATCACCGGAATGGGAAGCTGGATGAGACGCAGATGTTGAGATGGCCTCCGTCAACATGGACGCGGTGTGGTTCTTAATTTGTTGCACAACATGGAAGAAGACAACAGCATCGGGGTGTTTCGCATCGATGTATTCGGAGCGAGTTGCTGTGACTTCAGGTTGGCCATGTAAGGGGGCCAAACTTCTGGTGATCTTGTCAAACTTCCAGAGACGGAAGGTCAGGCCGATTGTAGTCATAGCCCAAACCACGCGACCGGCAATGCCACCGGTCCTGGGCATGTTGCGATTGCACAGTTCAAGAACTTGAAGCTCAACTTGTCGTGCGTTTCCGATATCGCTCTTGCACTCAACCCATAGCAGAGCAACTTCATCGTCGATCGCGCTGCTGACTCGGGTCACTGCCATGTCGGAACGGCGGAGGGAGTCATCTGGACCGGGATCGACCTCGTGCTGCACCATGTAGAGATCTCGTTCCCAAAAGGCATGCTGCAGTGCAATGTTCCAAAATCCCCTAGCCCGGGACTCGGATGCGCCACGTGCTTTTTTTTAAAGCATTTCGAGCACTGGGTTAATGACGATCGTCATGTTGGCGGTTCTTGTGTGAAAGGCGGTATTTTTTTTTTTTTGGCGTGGTCCAACTGCCCCGACAGAACGAAATAGAAGGGAGCAAAATGCAAACTATATAGTGCGATGCAATGTCCATGCTGTCGAGCACCTCACAGCCTTGCAAAGCTGCCTCGCTCATATGGGATTAGCAGCGGTAACTTTTGATTGGATATCCACAGTTTCCCAGACCTCCACTTGTGAGCCGACGTTTTAAAATAGAAGGAGCCTCGCGATATCTGTCGCCATACGCAGTTGCTTTTTTAGCGCCGGCCCGTTCCGTGGTCAATGTCTTCTACACCAAACTGCAGCATCAGACCCTGGAGTTCCATCAGCGCCTACGCTACCTAATGAAATGCAGGTTGTGCGTTTCACGTCACATTCAATCTGAGAGACGGTTGGCCATTGCTGGTTTGAATAAAATGCAATACTGCTCCACCCTTATGCCCCTTGAAGCTCGATGCCATTATGATACAAATATGTCCTGCGCAGACTGAACCACCACTCAAGGACGCCACGCCACGGTACTGTTGTCCATTTGTCCTTGAACCAATCGTCATCGAAGAAATCGGCGCGACTTCTTTCACTCTCACTTACATTGTCTGGTGCACAAGATGCGACGGCGGCAACATAATAGCCGTCGTAGAGGCCTACTGTCCGTTTTGACCAATGCGGAAACCGACTGGCCTGAAATCGTCGGTGGCAAATGTGCAGACCATCAGACCGCGATTGGTCTACCCTGGACATGCATGGATTCAATTCGTCGGCCACCGCTGCCGCCCAGTCAACGCGCCACTTGCCGACATATGCAGGGGTTCGGCCGTCTGCGTAGGAGACCAACATACCGACGACCGGACGGTGCGGTACAGTCGGTTCAATGCAAAGCCGAATCGATGCAACATTTTCCAATGAGCATGATGAATACAGGCCGCCCGGCAGTGGTCCTCGGAAAGGACCAATCGACAAGGGTGATTGACGATGCAGCATCTCGTCCTTTAGCATGGCTGGCGGTCGCTTCTCTTCCGCACCGACCTGTGGAGAATATGCGAGGCCGCCAAGCTCCCCACGGTCAAACGCAGTCAACTGTATTGTGAGCCGGACGCGGTGCTCGTCGAGACGGTTGAAAAACATACGACAACAATGGCCGTTCCGAAGACGGGCGAGGCACCATATATTTGAGCGTTGCAGGTAGTTGCCCCAGAAAGCCCCGAATTCCTGTGTTCGTCCATAGTTTGTCTGAAACTACACCATAAAACGACAACGAAATTAGTGCGAAGCCATGACAACGTTGGACAGGTCTACGTTAACACTTACCACAAGCCCAAGACTACTCATCGGGTCAGGACTGGGCCACTCATAATACGCCAGACGCCGGTAGATGCCAACAATGGTCTCTCCTGGCGCGAGTGGCATGTACACCCAGGAACAGTAGGCGAGCCCAGATTCCATATTATAGGCTCTTGCAAGCGCTTCACTGTCTTCGCCACGCGTATGTGCAATGATGGAGTAAATTGACTCGCCATCACACGCCACAGAGTAACCAACGGTGCCAGGGGCATTGATGTTGACATACGACATGCGATACGGGCCGGTCGCGGTCCTTTCGTTCGGAGATGGTCTACGGGGCGGTATAATATGGCCTATCTGAGGCGCCAAGACAAGGGGCACCGGCCAGAGAAACTGTGCTTCTGAGACAGGCACGGCTGCAACGGCATCAAGGACAGCAGGGTCTCTGGATATGGAGATGGTGCGCAGTTTAATGCCCTAATACTCCGTCAGTACATATATACAGTTATATGATGGGGGGGAATATGGATGGCGGTTGGCAGGACTTACGTCACTCTGAATCTTCAGTGTTAATGGGCAGCCGTCCGCCGATTCTTCTGCTTTTAGGTCCAAGGACTCGCAATACCAAGAGACTTCATGTCTAAGAACTTGTGTTTGGTGACGGCACCAAGCGGTGATCTTGTTTTGGTCGTCGGCATCATCTTGGCGAAAAAAACGGACACAGCGAACGCCAAGGTGGTCGCTGGCCACAAAAAGACGCACGCGGGATGCGTTGGTTCGCAGACGCCCGGGAAACAATAAAAGGCACAGCTTCGTCATGGTTCTGTCGGCGGAATTCGGCGTGGCGAGCTGCGGATCCGCTCTCAACAGACTATGCACGTAGTATCGCCTCTCGTAGAGGATAAATGAAGCATACACTGGTTTGTCTAGATCAATGCGAGCTACCCCTTCCCGGAAGGTTAGCTGTGCATCCAGTTGTGCCGTGGATTGTAATTCAGATTGTACTGTTCCCGTGCTGTCTCGAGGTGCTCCCTCTGATGCATCTTTCATTGTGTCTCCGGTGGTGTCTTCACTGATGTCTTTGGCAGGTCCGTCCTTTGATATTTCCTCGAAAGGCTTATTCCATATTTCCTGTGGTGACATATCGTGTCCTTCTCCTAACGTTCGAGACTGCGGTACTTCTCGCACATCAAGTTTCAGGTCATCATCCACGCGATCGGCCAGCGCCAGGGCGGAAATAAACGCGCACTCGCCCGTCAAGTGTTTTGCCACCATCATCCACAGCTCCATTGGCAGTGGACGCATCCAGGTATCAGAGCCCCTTGAGCGTGGTTCTGCCAGGTCCGACAGCCGCCGGGCCAGTGCGTGTTGGATTCGGGCGGCCCGATGGAGCTCGTCTGCGTGGGAGATGGGAAACGTGTATTGTGTGATTCCGACGAAGATTCGAGATATTGTAAACCACGATGCGGCCCCGTTGGCGGTTATGTCGGTATTTATTTCGACGGGCAGGTGGCTAGGCAGGCGGCCGGGAGTCGATGGCAAGGGCATAACGCTGTCGTTGACATGGGCAGCAAAGGCGCAGCAACTGGGATGCATGCCAAAGGCTTCCTCATCGCGGATGCTGCACTCCTGTCTGCCGCACATGTGAACGCAAATCGGGCGTACATTGTTGTAGTACAGGGTGGGTTCATCGTAGGGAAACTCTGGAGTGGCAATGCCGTCAATGCCTGTGAGAAATGTAAGCAACGAGAATCATACCATTCGTGAAGTGGCAGCGACGCTTGGGCTTTCCTTACTCGCAACGATCAACTCATCTTGTGCAAAGGAAAGCTGGCAAACCACACATCTCGGATGGGATATGCAGAAAACAGAAATGTATGGCTCTTCTTCTTCGTGCGGTTCTAACGTTGCCATTCTTCGTTGTCAATACTTGAAGTTTAGACGATTGTGTATAAAAGAGGGCGGCGTTATGTGGAGTATTGCGTGTGGAGGACACGCTGATCGCCTGCCTTTGGTGGGCGTCATTGGGCACTACTCGTTGATTGGTTGGACCTCATGAGCCTTCGGGGACCGTGCGTCGGCATGAAGATTCGTCAAACATCGTACCGCCACGGCGCACATCATGACGTCGCAAGACGCCTGTACGAATACCTGTGAGTGAGAGTCCTATGTTCGCAGATTAATTAGCCAAAAATACGCCATATTTTGTACCTAAAATTTATTTACGGGGATTTAAACGAACTTGGTTGAATTTAATAAACAGCAAAATAAAGGCGAGTACCGGACACATTGAACGGAGTCGGGCCTGTAAATTTCACGCAATCCGCCAAGATGCGATCGATTAGATTATCTTTGAGCTAAATGTCTTGTCAGCGAACAGCCGCAACTCTGTGCCGGGAAACTGATTCAACTCTATCGTTAATTAAAACGGAGTCTACCACTGTCAAGAGAGGACGCAAGCATGGTCCGCTGCGCGTATAGTCTTCTCATAGTCCCCATCTCTCTCGCAGCGAACGCACGGTATTCGATGATTTACTCCTGCGTTGGCACATTGCTACATGTCCAGGGGCTCCGAGTATCGTGTCGAGCCAAAAAGTAGCACGCCTATTCCACCCCAATTTGAACTATGGCTGATTGATAACGCCGGCTGTATTCACAGTTCGCATCCACATGTTCTTTGACAGCGCAGAATTGTGTTCTATCCTCTGTCTTGGGCCCTTTCAGACCTGTAAACTCGGTTCATATCTCTCAGCACGCCAGACTACATGGCGGGTACGAAATTGAAGCAAGATGAATCATGAGGCAGCACGGAGCATTCGCCCGCGCAGTCCACCGGATGCCCCAAGGCGGATGCTGGAGTGTCTTGTCACAAGGGTCAGTGGGCTCTCTGGGCGAAGCCCCACTACAGCTGCACGCCCCATGGCGCTTGCCGTAGCGTCAGTTGTAGCGTCTGTTAGCGACCTGGGTGTTCTTTTCCAATGCCAGGAACACACCAGCATCGCCAAAACAGTCCCAAACCAGCTCTAGGATCCCAAACCGGTTTAGTAGGATATTGGCATGGCTATTGATAGCCGTTTATGTGCCTTGACAACCATCACCGCCGTCGTGATGCGGAGAGCCCTGGAGGGGAGCTTATATATGTCTGAGGGAGGAGTGAATAAGTTGGAAAAAAAACGAGGGAAGCAAGACGTACGACAAGACGACATCGTCACGACTTAACACGATCGCCTACGCATCTACGATAACCCTAGCGAACCACTTACGCCAACCCCAACCACAACCAACATGGTCGTCGGCGCATTCCCGCTGTCGGGCAAGATTGCCGTCGTCACGGGCGCCGGCTCGGGCATTAACCTGGCGTTTGCGAAACAGGCCGTCGAGCAGGGCGCGCGCGTCGTCGTTGCGGACCTGACGTTGACAGACGACGCCAAGGCGTTTGCGGCCGCCCACGAGAAGAGCGTCGTGTTTGCCAAGACGGACGTCACAAAGCGGGCGGACCTCGAGAACACGGTGGCGGTGGCCCAGTCGACCTTTGGCGACGTGCCGGACGTGTACATTGCGGGCGCCGGCGTGTTCGAGCCGGACTGGTCGAGCTTCTGGGACGACACGGAGGACGACGGGTACAAGCAGGTCGAGGTCAACGTGAACCACCCGATGAAGCTGTCGCGAATTGCCATCCGGAGCCTGGTCCGGCGCAAGAAGCCGGGCGTGATCCTGGTGGTGGCGTCGCTCGCGGGCTACCAGGGCGCGTTTGCGTCGCCGCTCTACTGCGCGACCAAGCACGCCGTCGTGGGTTTTGCCTGCTTTTTCGTTAGATGAATTACGTCCATGTCCACTAGTGAAACCTGCTATACCATGGACGTTTTTATCCTCAGCCTCGTCCATGCCAAGTTGGAAGTTGGTGGCAAAGTTGATCCTTCCGTTGATGTCCGAGCCAAGTCGTTTTAGAGACGGCGAATATTTTCATTGGGAGCACAGAATGGTATCCCTACGGGGCTTTGTGTGCCAAATTGTTTTTCATCTCCGTGTTTATATTTACATCTAAAAGTCGACAAAAATCGCATCTTAGTCAATGCGGCTTTAAAGAGATTGTGACATGTATCTAATGAATGTACAAAAACAATACATTTATTTTATTTTTCATTCAATATATATGTGGAAAGTCTGTGTTGCAAAAGGCAATTGTAGGGTTAGTTTGTGTAAAAAATACATAGAAAAATATCCAAAAAAAAAAACCCTCGACGTTAAAACGAAAAGATAAAAAGAGGTGGCAATGGTTGAGACGCTGTGAGAAAAGAACATAATAGAAAAGCAGAAGTTGCCGCCTTTTATAAGTTAACTTGTTGTCTGTAGGTGTCTCGGTAGGGATAGGGTTGGCAAAGTTGGCCTTCTGTTTTGCCGTATTTGGCCCCTTTCTGATATGTTAGGCTTTGATTTGTGCTTCCTCCTCTAGAAGTGTTCCTTCCAGAAACGGAAGTTGACTTCTCGGACAGACGCTGCGGAGGTTGCCTTCTTGATATCGCGTGCTGGAGGCTGTTAGTAAAAGGTGATTTGTACGTTTCAGAAAAGGAAGAGATAGAGGAATTACACACCTGCTCCAGACGGACCGCAGAAGTACACACCGACGGTGGTCTTCATGCTGCCCTCAAGACCGTTCAGGTATGTCCGGTCCAGAATGCCGTCACGCATTGCGCTGAAGAACTTCAAGAAGTTGGGGCGACCAAAGTTGGTGCGCGACTTCAGCTCTGTCAACGGGTCGTAGGTGGCACCCACTGAGTTGAGCACAATGTTCTGCGTGGTGTCCATGTCGAGTTTCTGCGTGAGGTACGTGTGAATCTTGAGGAATTCAATGCCGTTGCTGCCCGGAATGCGTGCAGCGTCTGTCGACTGCTGCTCCAGCGACGACAGCAGGGTCTGGAACCACTCAAAGGATGTCGTGTCCTTGCACACCCAGATGAACTCGACACGGCGAAGACGGGTCGGCGGGTTCGGGCCATTGCGCAGATGCCAGATGTTCTTGAGAATGGCGGCCCAGGGCGTCACACCAATGCCGGTACCGATCAGCACGGCGATTTCGTTGTCGAACACATCCTCGGCAGGAGCACCATAGGGGCCATCGATGCGCAGAGCCGGCATCTGCTGGCCATTCTGAAGAGCGACTTCGTACATGCCGAGGGGGTCGACGCCTTCGTACAGCTTCGCCTGTGCGGAACCGGCACCAACAGCATCGCCCAGAGCGCGGGTAAAGTCACCAACCTGGCGGACATGGACCGAGACGTAAGGGTCGTACGGGCAAGACGTGATCGTAAACGGGTGCCATTGGTACTTGGAGATGGACGGCACCTGCAGGAAGAGCCACTGGCCGGCCTTGTAGCGGAAGGACGGCTTGGAGAACTGAATCTCGACGGCATCTACAAAATGTCAGCGTTTGTGAGAAGGGAACAGACCCCTGTACGTTTCCACTATCACTTACCATACGGATGGCGGACGACACGGGTAATGCGCGTCTCACGGCGGGCGCGGACCTCACGGTACAGACGCTCAATTAGGTAAAGACCACCCGCAAACAGCTCCCACCGCCAGCCCTCGTAACCAATGCAGTGGTTCCAGAAGTTGGCGCCGGCAAAGGGGGAGAAGGCGTTGGGGGTGTCGCGCACGAAGCAACCCACGGTATGGGTGTACAGACCCAGTAAAAAGGGAATGAACAGGTGGTGTGTGTACCAGAAGGTCTCGAACGATTGCTGCCGGATACGGTGGTGTGCGGTGGTGTACATCAGCAGCATGCAGAAGAGCATGACGTGACCCGTAATTCCACCAGGCTCGGTGTAGTGAATCTCAAGGGCGCTGACCGGACGAATCTGGGTCTTCTCAACGTTGTAGAAGCTGCTCTTTGTTAGATATCGGACACTTTAACTCAATCTGCGTAATCATATGAAGGAGAGAGTTCGACGTACTTCACGTAGTGACTAGCAGTGTGGATAATAGCGAATAGAAGCATGGCGTAGGCGATTTGGCGATGGAACCAAAGATTTTCATCGAGGGGAAGGAAGCGAAGTTTTGGCCGAACAATGCGGACCAGTGTCCGGCAGACTGGGAGGAGAATGAGTGTGCCATCGACGGCCAGTACGAGACCAGCACCACGGGAAAGCCATACTGAGTACTGGAGTGTATTCAGACCGGCTAGTCGAGGGTCACTCTCTTGTTTGTACCTGTGACAGTGTCAGCTATCCGCCGCTTTGACCATTGGAAAAGCCGTCCACGTCTCCCGTCGTCCACCACGCGCTATCCATTACTTACCAGCCAAAGGCGAACAGGCCCCAGTGCACGCCCCAGAACAGGAAGTGGAAGAAGAGTTTCTGCGCCGTAAACTGCTTCTTGATCAACTGAATCGCACTCATGATGGCGGTTGGTAAGGTCGAGCCGGCTCAAGAGCAGCTCTTGTTATGTGCGAGAGAAAAAAAAAAGCGTAGCGAATATTAAGTATGACGACCTGCGTCAGTGTCGACGAGCGTCTAGTCCAGGGCTCTCAAGTCGTCGAAAGTGTTTGTCGGCTCAGGTCGTCGAGATGTCTCGTATCCCTAACCGTAGCCGGTTCGAGATGAAATGATTCGAAAGGATAGAGGTGTACAACTAACTCAATAGCCAGGACCGATGAACCCAAATTCGCTGCACCATGGACAAAATAAAGGAAAGAAAAATAGTGTTTCTGAGCCAGCAGGAAAAGAAGCGAACAATAAAAGAAAGAAGAATAAGAGGAAAGAAAAAGTATGAACAGAGGGAAAGAAATGGCTCGCAAATTTGACGACGGCAAATCTTCTACCTGGCCGAGTGAAGAAGAGGAAAAGAAAGAAGAGCAGATCGAAGATGTGTGGTGGCGGTGGGCAACCAGTTAGTCATAAAGGGACGGGGCTGCAGAACCGGAAAGAGGACACACGGAGAGCTTGAATCTCAAAAAGTGTGTGGAGACGGCCGCAAACAAAGAAAGGAGACAGGGGGGGTGGACAGGGAAATATCAACAAACCAGGACGACAGCCGAAGCAAAGCAGAGAAAATTGAGCAAAAAACGCACGTTGAAGCCTTGCCTCGTCTTTGGCCCCACCTGGCAAAGAAAGGGGAAATGGGATTTTGAAATGCCGTGGCACGAAACTATGCCAAAATCGCAACACTGCGATAGGATTTGAAGTGGATGTGCGTGAGCGCGACAGCAGTAGGCGAAAGAGCAACAAAAGGCTGGTGAGCAGCTAGACTGAGAATCTTGAGACTGATGCTTCTTCGGATGCCAGGTGTTTTGAAACCGTTTAGCTGTTTCTGGTAATGCTTCTTAGGTCTCTTTTGTGGACCGGACGAAGGTGGACCAAGAGAGCAGCACAGTAACTGCAGCACGGAGACGTTGTGGCGAGGAACGAGCTCCAGGACTTTGGACGTGTCTTGCAGCAGACGCGGACGATGTTGGGAGCCAGTACTGCTGGATGTGGATTGCGAAGTGCTGTAGATAGACAGGGTATTGTAGCGCTCTGCTCTCTAGAGATGGGATATCTCGTTGAGAGGCTGGCAGTACCCCTTGGTCAAATGTGTGGGCGACGAGGTAGATCAGACGTGCGAGGGTGTTTCGCAGTTGGATGGGGCTTGTGTCAGGTTATGGCCTTGGCAAATGGGTGATTCTGGCCAAAGGAGTAGATCGCAGAAGAGAATGCGTGGAGAGAGACAAACGGCCGGGCTTTGCAACGAAAAGGACTGGAGGAGGTCGAGTTGAGACGATGAGTGTTAGAGACGCTTTGACGAGGGGCGGCTTGGACGTTGTGCAAAGTGGACTTTGCTGGGGTTTCGGCTTGGACAGGGGAAGGGTGGGAGTGCGAGTGGGCGCGAGTCAATTTCCAAGACGGCGTTGAATTGAAGTCTATGAAAAAGGAGGAGTAAATTGGAAAAATGAGTCTACAAAAAACATCACGAAAGAACAACACAGTCAGAGTTTGGAGCCCAAAAAGGAAACAAAGAGGATAGAATCCAGAGGAAAGAGAAGGCCGACAGTCGTGATAATATGGGAAAGAGCATTGGGCGACCCAAAGCAATAGGAAGGTACGATGGAGATTGTTTTGCAACAGCACTAGTGGACCTCACAGCGGGGGCGCCCGCTAAGAATAGACGGGGTGTGAAGAATGCGCTGTGCTGTCATTGGCTGCAGAGGGGATGTGACGAGACAAAGCCAAGACAAACAGGGTGTAGCCATGATCTCGGGCGCTTAAACAGTCAGTGCGGGACGACAGGAGGTGGGCAGGATTGAATTGGCCAGGAACGGGAAGGGTACGTTGGTGAGCACGGAAACTTAGTACACGAGAGAAGTACTTTTGCATGTAAGTAGAATACGCTAGTCCTTATTCGGACAGCATCGACAGTGGAAGGTTTGGTCTCAGGCCAATCAGTGGCCCTTCACTCTCTCCAAACCGAAACGTTGTGTTCTGCGCTGCGCTAGTTGGGAGAGTAACCGCAGGCAAAGGTAAGCCCTGGCTGCATGCTTTCTTCGCCTCGCCCTTCTCGAAGCTCCTTTCCCGTTCTTAGAGACATGTGAGATGTTGGCTGCCGTGTCATCCGATACCTACACGCTTCTCGAATCACTTTTTGGTGGCCCGTGACAAACAACATACATACGAGAGTGAGAAAATGAAATGAAAGGATGGCATAGAAAACATTGTCCGTCCAAGCACCTGCCATACATATTGATCCTTTCGTAGAATCTCCTTGAAAAAGGCTCAGCGTCGTATCCTACGTTGGATGATTATCGACTATTGACATTCAAGATGTGTGTTTAGAGATCGCCCCGG